ATGAGCCATGCGGTTTTAAGTTTAGTTTCTGTGAGACTTGCGCAAAGCTGCATTAAAAACATTCTAATGTCAAACGGACTGATGTGGCTCTAGAGTGTTTATGGTTTATATGTCATAAAGTTGACTTTATTTATGCAGATTAGTAATAGTAATAATAATAATGATAATAACTTTAATATAAAAAACTACGATCGATTAAGAAAATTTTATCAAATGCCCATCCCTATTTAAGACAATCGATTAATCGGTCAACAATTAATCAACGACTAAAAGACTACAGCCCTGTCTTCTACTAAACCAGAACTAAGCTGCTTTATAGAAATACTAAACCGCACTAAGCCAGTATTGTGCGTGATGTGTTGACAGTGGTGGAACAAAGAGGAAATCCAGTGTTCCGCATTTATCGTCCAGTGCATCTCTCCTCTGCCGCCTCTCAGATAATGATGCCCTCCCTCTTTCTCTCCTTCCCTTTCGCTCACGTGATCCTGATATTAGCAAACCCGACGTGTGTGCGGGGAAGACAGCGTCTATTTTTAGCGTACAGTTCCATTCACGGGGCGCGCTCATGTGGAGGGCCGCTGTTGAACTCCGACCCCTGCTATTCTCATTTTGATTGGTCCAAATGTCAGCGATTGTCCCGGGCATAATGAGCAGCGCGCGCTTTACCCGGCCGCATCCATATTCAGCGGAGGGCCAGCGGTCAAGTCCACGCACGCCGCAGTCTTATCAGAGTGAGCGGAGGGGGCGGGGCTACAACCATACATCAATGTCACCTTCAGGAGGATTCGTACACGCTGCAAAAATAGGTCCACGCTCGTTTGAGACGTTCTAGAAAAGGAAGAAAATGAATTGTTGTTGGTTTTTTCACAAGTTCTAATAGACTGATTGACTTTTGAAATGAGTTTTTCAAAAGGAACTGCGCTCTTACACCTTCTAAAAAGAAACTACAATCCAAATCTGAACCTGCCTTAAACGTCATATATTACGCAAAATGGACTCTTGGGAGATTTTAGTCATGTTAGAACTTTATAACCTCCTCAAAAACAGACCCAGCGCTGTGTTTTGTTTCATTCACACACGTCTGATGTCATGCAGTGGTAGTTTTAAAGGCGTTTATATGATGACAGTTTGAACAGAAGACAGAAAAATGGCGTCGCATCTTCACTTTTGATGTCGCGTTTAGACGAGTGTTTTCAGAAGGAAATCTGCGTGAACACGGTGACGCAAAAGTGTGTGGAATTTGGTTGGGTTTGCATGCCAGATGTCTCAGTCGTGATGTATGTGACGTAAACGTGTACACGACCTGAGCAGATCTGACCAGAGTTTTGCGTCTTGGGCAGTGTAGACAGAAACGCTACAGCGGAGCGTTTTCATCTTTTCCACTCTGAAGGATGGTTTCAGATTTTTGCATTTTTAAGCCCCCAAAACGCTCTCGTGTAAACAGGCCCAAAGTTAACATCTACCTTTTGACTTGATTGGAAATAGATGCATCACGAATCTCGGACTTCCGGTCATTGCGCAGTGCATACTGGGAAGGATTTTCCGAAAAAGTGAGCATTAAACCACCATGTTTGTTTTCCCAGTGGGATGCGTCTATTGACAAAGTCGATCTTTTCAAGTCTTTTGAACCATATCTCTTTTGTTTCTGGTTCTGATATTGTCATATTTTAAGTTTTGCGATTCGGACATCGTAATTGTGTGGTTGTTGGATCCTAACAGTGGAAAACGGCTCGAGAAATGGGCTTCGGAAGTTTACGAACTCCATAAGTGCAAAAGGGAATCGGATGTGTGTGACTGCAAACCTCCGTTCTAACTGCATCTTTACATCATCAAGACAAACAGTATATTTTTAGCTCTAGTCTTGTGTAATGTGCAAATGTGTTTTGGCACAGTGGAAAGTAGATGTACTCTGTAAATATGTCCATACGAGGAGCCGGTCCAGGAGCCGGTCCAGGATCCAGTTTGGCTCCTCGTGCATATTTGATGAACCTTAATCCTTCCATCACTGCTGCAAAGTGCTCAATCGTTTTTCCACATTTCACAAGTTTAGAGGAGGAGTTTGAGTCTGGCACTGTTGGACTGTTTGGAGTTTGCATGTTCTCCCTGTTTCCGGGCGGGTTTCATGTGGTTTCCTTGGCAACCAAAACATGTACAGTGTCCGAGACCAATCATCCAGCTCGGTAGTTTTGCTGAGATCTGGAGAAGCTATTTTTTACTTTTTAAATTTTTCCAGATAGAGATGGGGATGATCAGTAACTTGACATGTTTTATTTATTTATTTATTTATTTATTTATATAAAGATACAGTGGAAGACTACTCACACTACTCTGGAACATTCCACATGGAGATAGATACTGTAAGCTTCATTTCCTTCAGTGGAATAACAAGATTTCCAGGAACATGTCCATGGAAACAAGCAGGAGGAGGCTCCTCCTCCACCAGGCCAAGAGTCAGGTTTGTGGAGATGCAAGCCTGCTCACAGTAAGGGCACGTTGTTTTTTGTTTTTGTTTTTGTTTTTTGTTTCTTCAGTACAATAAATACAAATAATTTAGTTTTTTTTTTTTTTATCGATTAATAGTAAAATTATGTTAAAAATATTTGGGCAAAATGTTACACACTGTTGCTTCAAGTCGTGACTTAGTGTATTTTAGATACATCATATCAATCTAAACCTAATGTTTTTGTTGTAATTTTTTTTCATTTTCATGTTTATAAGATGAGGAGGTGTTGGAGAAGGAGGGTTGTTTTGCAGTTGAGAAGGTGATGGAGGAAAAGAAGGAGAAAGAGGAGGTGATGCAGGGGGATGAAAACGAGGAGGTGATGGAAGAGGAGGTGGAGAAGGAGGAGGAGGTGATGGAGGATTGTTGTTGTTGTTCTGCTACTGACGAAGTGATGAGGAGGAGGTAAGGAGGTAATGGAGAAGGATGAAAAGGAGAGATGATAGAGGATGATGAAAGAAGGAGGTGATGGAGGAGGAGAAGGAGGAGCAGGAGGTTATGGAGAAGGAGGAGCAGGAGGTTATGGAGAAGGAGGAGCAGGAGGTTATGGAGAGTCCTGCACAGGTCCATTTTTGGAAACCCACACCTGTGCAGTCCAGCACCACACCCGCCAGGTCACATGTGATTATATCAAAGTTAAATCCACACTCGCCTGGACCTGTTAACATTCCACCTGTGACCAGCCTGTGATAAAACGGGGTCAGCCCATTAGTTCGACAGCCCAATAGTCCTGGACTAAACCAGGACTAAACCAGGACTGAACCTACGCCGTGTCATTAGTGTATTATAAATATATACACGCCGCAACCGCAGAGTTGATCACCAGGACTACACCAGGACTACAAAAGGACTAAACCAGGACTAAACCAGGACTAAACCAGGACTAAACAAGGACTAAACCAGGACTAAACCTCCGCTGATGGTTTTATGTAGTAAAAACACTGAAGTCACTCTCTCAGTCTGGTCCATCGTTTTGGAAAAAGACCAGGAAATATCACTTGTTCCAGGGCAGCAGACGTCCTGGACATGCATCAAGTATTTTTCTCCCATTCCTCATTCATTTGATTCACCTGACCCACCCGTGTGTAATCACGACCCAATCACATACCCGCCTGTAAAATTCCAGAACGTTAAAACCCGCCCATTTCAGCAACTATTTGCGAGGACAGTGGTCCCTCGTTTATCGCAGGGGTTACGTTCTAAAAATAACCTGCGATAGGTGAAATCCGCTTTACATTTTACAATTATTATATCTGTTTTAAGTCTGTAAAACCCCTCAGCACAAACTTTATACACTTTTCTCACACAGGACAGTTAACCTTTTTTGCGTCCTTCTTAAAACTTATTACTGCTGTCGTCCTTTTTTTTATTTTCGTCCTTCATTCATTTATTCCACAATGGAGTCCTACAGCGCAGAGTCCTGCAGGGGTCCATTTTTGGAGACCCACACCCATACAGTACAGGACCGCACCCGCCCATTAACCAGAGATTATATCAAACTTTTGCGCTTCATACACCACAGACTGAACCAAGACTAAACCGGGACTAAACCAGGACTAAAACAGGACTGAAACAGGACTCACTGTCGGGACGGGCTTGGAGGTGACTGCAGGAGAAAGGACCGGCTCAGCTCCGCATCTCACGGAGGTAAAAGCGGGCGCCACCTGATCGTGCTTTGCTGACACCCTGCTTTGGTGTTCTCTCTCTTAAGTCCAAGATTAGTCCTGGTGTAGTCCTGGTTTAGTTCTGGTGTAGTCCATGTGTAGTCCTGGTTTAGTCCTGACCCGCCCGTGTGTAATCACTACCCGTCTGCGTACCCGCCCGTAAAATTCTAGACCCGGCGCAGGACTCTGCCACAGCCAAGTAACTTCTACCTTCCTTCAGCGTGTCCAGAGTGGGTGCAATCGCAGGAGCCTTTACTGGTGCAGAACGTTTCGTCGACATTGTGGGTTTTTTCGGGGAGAAATCTTGCAAACATACAGCACTTCAGAATCACACTGATAGAGATCAAACTTTTATGTAAAATGGGCAGGAGACACGGCACGGAGGAGACTGACTGACAATGGTCTACAGTCTCTTAGCCAATCAGGACGCACGGATATGAACACTATACACGTTGATACACAACAAAAAGGCATGCAAAAAAATCTGCAAATCAGCGAGAAAGCAAAAAGTGAACCGTGATATAGCGAGGGACGACTGTACCTGTTAGTACTCGACCCGGTGCAGGACTCTGCTGTGATGTTATTTGAGAGGGGCTTGTTGCAAACGATCAATCTTTCATCTGTTCCCAACACGTCCCTGAACATTACAAAACACCTTCTCCATCTTCCCTGAATTAACCGTATTAATCCTCGACACACGACGGCGTCCGGTCTGCTTGCTGCATGTCGCCCGTAGCATGTGGCCCCGTTCCTGTAGCGGGCGTGTACCGTGATGCCGCGGCCGGGGACATGGGACCGCGGGCCTGACTCTGCTGTCTGCATGTGCTTCCCCGTAGACCCTGGCCGCTCTAACACGAAACTCCATTAACCTGCTCCCCAACCATCTCGCTCAAGCTTTGCATGTCCAGTGTGGGCCCGAGGAGATAAACACGCGCATAGCCAGCTCCATCCAGCAGAGGAGCGGAGATAAGCTGAGACGCGAGCACATGAAGCCTCTGTCACTCATGTTTAGAGTCTCCAGCCTGGAACAGAAGGTAGAGGGCGCCGGAGAGTTCTCTGAGCAGCAGGCCTGTCACCGTTACACTTTTTGAGTGTCGCTGATGAAAATATATACGATAAAAGGTCATATTGATACAAATTTTTGCTACTCAAACAATGACCTGAAATTGGTTTTGTGGTTTTAATTTCGTTTGAACAGGCTTTTGGTTTTGGTCTTGGGATATAGCAGAATCAGTGTGTCATTCGTTCTTTCGATTTTCTAATTAAAATCAAAAATAATAAAACGAAAAAAACAACAATTTTCTTCATATTTGTCTCCAAAACCAAAATGAAAAAATGGATAACGGATAAATTTCCAGTTTCATCCAGTTTTGAGCATGGATCTATAAAAAAAAACTGGAGATGCCGGACCTTTGCGCCGCATATGGACTGAACCAGGACTAATCTTGGACTTGAGAGAAACGGAGAACCTCGAGTCTCATCTCCGGGCTCATCCTGACACTCAGTCCTAGTTCAGTTCTGGTTTAGACCTGGTTTAGTCCTGTTTTAGACCCAGTTCAGTTCAGTTCTGGTTTAGTCCTGGGTCAGTCCTGGTTTAGTCCAGGTTTAGTCCAGGTTTAGTCTTGGTTTAGTCCCGTTTTAGACCTTGTTTAGTCCTGGTTAATTCCTGGGATCAGTCCTGTTTTAGTCCTTGTTTAGTCCTGGTTTAGTCCAGGTTTAGTCCAGGTTTAGTCTTGGTTTAGTCCCGTTTTAGTCCTTGTTTAGTCCTGGTTAATTCCTGGGATCAGTCCTGTTTTGGTCCTTGTTTAGTCCTGGTTTAGTCCAGGTTTAGTCCAGGTTTAGTCTTGGTTTAGTCCCATTTTAGTCCTTGTTTAGTCCTGGTTAATTCCTGGGATCAGTCCTGTTTTGGTCCTTGTTTAGTCCTGGTTTAGTCCTGGTTTAGTCCTATAGTCCATGGTCAAATTTGGAAGAAACGGCAAAAGTTCATTATCCGTTTTTTCCATTTTATTCATTTAAACACAAAATCGAAAACTGAAAAAAGCAAATCGTTACCCGTCTTTTTCATTATGGTTTTGGAGACAAATAATGAAGAAAATAGTTGTTTTTACATTTTCTTACTTTTGATTTTAATTTGAACAATGAATGAACAAATGATACATGGATTCTTCTCAAATATTTCACATTGTCTAACTTAAAAAAATCCCATATTACACCAAATTGTGAGTTTTAAATCATGTTATTAAGCTGTTACCTCGTCAAAAACAGACCTGAAGTTGTGTTTTGTTTCATTCGCACAAGTCTGAGTAACTTTATTATTAGTCTGTCCACATCTCCAAACTTCAAAATGCTCCACCTTGTGATGTCATGAAGAGATAGTTTTCAAGCTCCTTTTACTTTTAGTTTAGCAGAGTTTGGCAATTCTTGGACTAAAATCATCCAAATGATTCTAGTAAAGGTGTGTGGAGTTTAAAAACACAGTGGAGCACTTCCTGTATTACCACGTGACATCACAAGGTGGAACAGAACGGGGGTTTTTTGGGCGTAAAACATGTGTAAATAAAACAAAACACAACTCCAGGTCTGTTTGTGATGAGGAAACAACATTATAACATTGATCAGAAAATAGTGTAATATGGACCTTTTAAAATAATGTCTGCGTTTGGAAAATATACTTTCTCTCTCTTTAAGAATTAGAAAATAAATAAATGAAGTCCATATCTGACGTGAATGATGTCCACAAATGGTTTATGGTCTTAAAAACTAAGCGGGAAAAGTCTGGATTATTACCTATGACGCAACAAAACAGGCAAATTCCAAATGACGCAGTTTTGAGGCTCAGAGGAGATAATTTTGTGTTAATGCATCACTGAAACGAACGTGAACGAAGCAAAAATAGAAGTTCGTCCGTCACTTATTGAACTTTGAGTGGACGCAGTGTTTATGGTGACAGGCCTCCTGACCAGCTCACGAGGGGCCGAGCACAGAGGCGAGAGGCAAGAGCTCATCCACAAACACGGAGCGGAAAGTCAAATCCGAACGAGTCTTTTGAGCCAAGGTTCAGTAACAAGTCAAAACTATAAAAGCGAAGGGTCTGGGTCCATGTACCATTTGTTGTTTATAATTTTAATTAAGAACGAAAAACAATAAAATGGGAAAACAGTTTATGATTTCATTTTTCCGTTTTAGAGTCAAACAAAAAAGACAGACTTCGACCTCCATTTCCAATAGTCAGTTTAAAGTTGTGACTATATTAATTTAGATATTTTATTCTCTCTGGTTTATTTGCCCCGGAAGTTCTACTGCAGTGTCGACCATGGATCTATAATAAAAACTATTTTATTATAGTTCTATGGAATCAACTGAACAAAGTTTATCGCTGCTACTTGTTTCTTGTCAATGAGTTCAACAATGACTTTATAAAATGTGAAAGTAAACGCGTCGCTGTAAAAGAAGACGACATGTTTGTTCACAAAACTGCAACGATTTTTCAGGTAACTCCTTCTAGCAGCAGAACTTCAAATAAACCAAAGAGAATAAAATATCAAATTCAAACAAGCACCAAGACTGTTTTTTTGTTTGGTGTTATCTGAAATAAACTTTAAATTAAATATGGAAAATAGAGGTTGAAATCTTTTTTTTTCTTTGACACTAAAATGGAAAAAAATAAATAATACAGGTCAGTTATCTGCCAGTGGAATAAGACTTTTTTTTTTTACTTAAAATATGAAAATACATCTTGCTACAAAAAAAAACAAGACTTAAAATAAAATAAAAAAAGACAGAGAAAAACACACCTATTCCATTGGTAGATAATTTGATTTGTCAAGTTAAATCAACTCAAATAAAGTCAAATATTCATAATTTCAGTCATTTTAACTTACCTAGATATTGTTGTTTTTTTTCACAATAACAAATGAAATTGTTGGGAATTATAAATAAAAAAATAAATTTTAAAAAGTGAAGTTGAGCTGATTTTGAGACAGGTTTTTGTGCCTCTGTGCTGTGCTCCCTCCTGACCAGCTCCTCCTCTCTCTGCTGCTTTACATTCACTGAAGGACACTGAACGTTAAAGCTTCACCGCGGAACTTTTCCCGTCTCTTTGAGTGAATGTAACGCCGTCCTGCCGCCGCTGCTGCTGCTGTCGTGGTTCGTGTTGCCCTTTGACCTTGTGGGTGCTGGTGGGTCCCTCCCCTCCCTCTGTGCTGTGTAGTTGGCGGTGTTGTGTAGCTGGCGGTGTTTGTGGCCTCCTCTCCTCGTTTTCTTTGTGAGAGAAATGACTTGCTGACTTCCCAGGTTGTAGATAACAGAAAGACAGAGATAAAAGTTGTTCTTGTTCTTCTGTGAGAATCTGCGTGCAACTGTTTTGAACTGTTTTCTACTTCCAAACACTCGTACAAAGTGCAAACAGATTTACACTATTAAAGACACACAAAAACATACACAAAACTGACTTAAACTAAGCTTTTTTTGTTTGTTTGTTTAAAGGCCTGTTTACACGAGAACGCTTGCAGGTAAAAACGACAAAATATTTTATCGGTAGTGCCTTTCGTTCAGACGGTGACGCCGTTTCCTGGTGCCGCCTAGTGCCTCCGCTCAGTTTCATTTCTCTCCAGTGACTAGGTCAGGAACCAAAATACACTAAACAGTTTGCAAAAATCCCAGAAGTGCGAGTCTGGGCACCAGCCAATCAGCAAAGAGTGATACATTCTGTGTTGTCAATGATTCCCAAGATCGAGGATTTAAAGCCGGAATAAAGAGAATATTTGGTGAATTTTATCAAGGGGAAAGACGTTATTGCCCTTCTTCCTACAGGATTTGGGAAAAGCGAGTTATGTATTACGTACGTCACGACCAAATAGCGGTGATTGGTTAATTAAAAAAAGTACCCGCCTACCGTCGAGCGAACAAATTCTAAAACTGTGAGGTCAGACGGTTTCTACGAAGTGAAACCGGCTGATGAATCTGGCTATGTTTACACGAGAACGCTTGTGAAAATATGTTATCAGAAGTGCCTTTCGTTTAGACGGTGATGGCATTTTTGAGGCTTTAAAACGCAAAAATCTGAAACCACCCTCCAGAGTGTAAAAGTTGAATACGCTCCGCCGTATTGTTTCCATCGACACTGCCCAAGACGCAAAACTCTGGTCAGATCTGCTCATGTTGCATACTCTTTTACGTCACATGCATAAAGTACACAGAAACAAATGTACAGAATCTGCAGAGATGCTATTAGTGAACAGAGAAGGATCTGCAATCACCTCTGTCAAATTCTGGATGCACCGGGTCATCGCAGTCGAGTCAGACGGATATGGATGAGACCTGGAGAAATAATCGATGGAGGGACAACTTTGTGGAAGGAGACGCGATGCCACTTTTGTATCTTGTGTTCAGACTGTCATCATATAAACGTAGCCTTAAAAAAAAAAAAGTTTTAGTTTATTACTAAATGATTAAAAAATATACTCAAAAAATATTCTGCACAGTTAAGATGCCATTTTTGAGCTGTTACAATGTTAGGGTGACCAGATTTGCAATAATAATAATAATAATAATAATAAAAATATAAATAATAATAATAAAATTGTGAAAGAAGAGTGTAATTAAGGAAAATTGTTCTGCACTTGCCCCATTCATAACTTACATGTCACATTTTCTTTGTGTTTTGGTTGTTTTTTAAGCATGAGTTTCTAAATTTTACCTAAACAGATAACAATTTATGTCTCTCTTTACTGTTAGCAGGGGTCAGATTGGTCAAAAATAGGAACAGCTGGGACATTTCTTGTACAAAACTGGGACAAATTAGTGGTTTTGGATAAATCTGTTGGGACAGGGGACACAGGGCTCAAAATTTGGACTGTCCCGGGTCAACAGGGATGTCTGGTCACCCTAATTTTGTAAGTCTTGCATCTGTTTTAGAAGCCTTGCCAAATGTTGAAGGGTTGCTTTATTACCAATGTGTATTTTTCAGGTATCGGTATCATAGAGAGCCCAAAACAATCCCATTGATCTAACGCCAGACTGTTTATTTCCGAAGGAGGGCCTGTAGTTTTTGTAGGAACCTCTGCAGATGCTAAAAACGCTCAAAATGACAGAAAATAGATTTATGTTCCCTCATTTAATCCCGGTATTTTTGGAAGTGTTAAAGAGTGTAAAAATACTTTGACACCAGGCTAATACTGACTTTATTTACTCTGCACAATTATCAGACACACACAGTAGCCCAGTATCACTTTGGTACTCGTTATCAGATTAAAAAATAAAAAATGGGAACAGTTGAAGGCATGTTGGCACGTTCAGCTCACAGCGAGGAGATTCCTGGTTTGATTCCCTTGAGCAGTTGCGCACGGCTCCTCACAGTCGGGTCAAACGCAGAAGGCGGGACGTGGGTCTACGTGAACCTCGATGGCGTGAGTGAGTTTTGGGGGCCCCTGCTCTTTGCTCCGCTGCTTGTGTTGGCCCCTGCATGTGCCGTGTGCTGCTTCGTGGTGCGCCCGTTCACCAAATGAACATCTGCATGAGTTAAAATGACCCGAACAAGACGATGTTGATGTTGATGTTGACGTTTAGCTTTGGTATGAACTTCTTCAGGACCTGGGTCTGGTCTGGTGAACTTTAGAAATGCACCGATACTGATACTGGTATTGAAGATTGGCTCCGATACTGAAAAAAATGCTGGTTCCAGTTGAATTCAGTCCTGGTTGGGCCTTTAATTGGATGTAATAAGACTGACAATCCAGGCTGATTTTGGCCTAGAACATCTCATAATGTTTGAATCTTTATTCATACAAAGCTGTTCAGTCGTCATGTGAAGGATAAATTACAGTTACATAACACATTTGGATCTCTTGTGTAATAAGTTAGCTGAGTTTTAAGGAAATAATTTGTTTTAAAGTAATTTTACATCCAAGTCAAAGTATCAGTATCGGTATCAGAACTGAAAAAGCTGGATTGGTTCATCCCTCTAAGCTTTAAAGGTGCACTGTGTAACTTTTCTGGAGAGGGTCTACAGCAGGGGTGTCAAACTCATTTTGGTCCGGGGGCCGTATCCAACCTACTTTGATCCCAAAGGGGCCGGATCAGAAAACTCATGTCATATAAACCCCAAAAATAACAATAAGTTCAAATATTTGTGCAGAGAAACACAAATCTATTATAGAAATCTTTTTTAATTGATGAACTCTTTCTTATTATATTATAATATTATGAACATCCTGAAACTTTAAGAAAAATTCAAATTCAACATTTAAAATATTTTAGTAGAAAATCACCCAAGGGCCACATTAAAGGTCTTGGAGGGCCGGATCTGGTCCCCGGGCCTTATGTTTGACACCTGTGGTCTACAGCCTGTTTGTCTCCATGAAGATGTTAATGCTTTGGTTTAAATCAGAGGTGGGATTTGCGAGTCGTGACTTGGACTCGAGTCAGACTTGAGTCCCAATTTTTACGTCTTGAGACTTGACTTGATAAAATAGCCAAAAAACTTGGGATTCGACTTGGACTTGAAGCTCAGTGACTTGGGGCTTGACTCAGACTTGAGGCCTGTGTCTTCAGAAGACTTGATGCTTCTCCTAAAAAATATATGTTTTTAGAAAATACTTTTCTCTTTACAGTTGGTAAACGTGGTGCTTAATTTTACAGGAACAAACTGGAACATGTCCATCTCTCTTCTGTTTGTTACTTTGGATGTAACTGAAGTACTGTGATGTGGTATCCTCAAATGTACTACAGTAATATACAGTACAATACAGTAAAACAGAGGAAACTACAAAGAACACAATCCTCCCATTTCATTGCAGAATACACAACAACAACTGTTAGCACTTTTAAATCTGAACTCTTTCTATTCTGGCCGTAATAATTCACACTCTTGTCAAGACATTTAAAAAAGAAAAAATTGCATTTCTTAAACTCTATAAATACTCCTTTATCATGACTTTTTAAGTGCAATTTAGTTTAAAAGTCGTATAAATTGAAAACATTTAAGCTATATTTGGTACTTTTTTGGTTTAAAGACTTGAAATGACTTGAAGCTCAAAGCAGGCGACTTGGACTTGACTTGGACTTATAGGCCACTGACTTGAGAGTCAACTTGAGGACAAAGCCTTGAGACTTACTTGAGACTTGCAAAACGACGACTTGGTCCCACCTCTGGTTTAAATTGTACAGACTATGGCATTAAACTAATCTGTCTTGCTTTTTTTTTTTTTAAACTACAGGTGTTAAAAGGCTGAAAAAATATCTGAAAAACTGTTATAAGTTTATGCACGTACTGTGGAACATTCTAGGTCAGGTGTAAGCAATTATTTTTCCCATGGAGCTACAAGAGAAACGGAACATTTTGTGGAGGGCCAGGCCAAAATGCTTTACTCACTTCTGCATAATATTAGTTCTATTTCTTTATAAAAAGTGGTAAGTCTTTGCTTTGACGAACTGGTGAGACTGGTACGAGTTTATGTCATGACTAAGCAATGAAAAATTGAGGCTGTCTTACAAAAAATGTCATTTAAAAAACACCTCTAAAATAAAAGAAATGCAACTTTAGTCCAAAGGTCCATATGTGGTCAGGCAGCTGTACAAGGGCCAGGTCTGTTCTAGGTAGAGTTCCATGGAGACAAGCAGGTGATGGACCTTCCACGAGACCAGATACACAGTGCACCTTTAAGGAACGGGCTGAGTCTAATTTCTGAAAATGTGACACTCTGCTGCTTGTCCAATAATAAGATTGTGTGTTTAGTCACTTTGCAGGTGTCATAAACAAACTGAAACCATCCAGACCAAATCGACAAATGAAAAGAAATAAACTAATTAAAAGTATTTCTGAACTCCAGTCATGTTAACTCATGTGGATTTTCTTTTTGCAGTAGGACATTAGGACAGTTCTGTCTCTCGCTAACCCTGTCCCCTGTCCCCCGTCCCTTCTTCCTGTCTTCTGCAGTACTCCCAGATGAGGGACGAGGTCTTCAAGTCCAACCTGGTGTGCGCCTTCATCGTGCTCATCTTCATCACGTCCATCCAGAGCCTGCTGCCCTCGGCCAGGTAAACGTCGCTCCCTTTTGTCACACAGAGGGAATATTCACACTGGAGACATGATGTTTGATGACCTCCAACAAAAAAGACGAACAAATTTTCCCTCGGAGACAATAAAAGTCTAAAGTCTAACAAACAAAAAAAAGAACTGACTATATCAACATTTGACCTCACAACTTTTTGGTTATAGGGAGCTCATTCCAGGTTATAATATTGTCATATTTTCTGGACTATAAGTTGCTCTGGAGTATAAGTCACACCAGCCAAAAAATGCATAATGAAGAAGAAAAAAACATATATGAGTCGCACTGGCATAATAAGCACTTTTTGGGGAAATGTATTTCGTAAAATCAGAGACCAGGAACCGACATTTCATCTCGAGAGGCAAGTTAAAGTAATAACAACAGAATAGACAACAGGCTGAACAGGCATTAATTTGTTAACATAACATATGAACAGTTCTTCAGAGAAACAACGCAACATAAGTTTACCAAACTCACGATTTCACTCCAAATCACTTAATCCACTGAATTTTTCATCCTTGGTGTCACTTCTGAGCAACTCCTCGACCTCCGGGGGTAAACGGAGCACCGCTTCCTCTTCTCTGTAGCTGTCGTCAGACTCAGCATCAGTTCCAGCTCCAGAATTATTCTGGTCTTTCTGAATCCCGACAGGATGGTTTCGGTGTCACTGAAGTCCAGGCTTTGTCCATCCATCCAGTGACTTCAGGAAAGTTTCATGGCACACCCGCCCAGTTACCGTGAAGCTGTTTCTCCATCCCCGTATTCCGCCAGTCCGTCACAAGTTCCTCGCTCACTCCAAGCTTTTTTTCTGCTGCTCGATTACTGTTTTCGGCTGAATATTTCACTATTTGCAGTGAGACAGCGGCTTTTCCTACAGGAGACATGTGCAGTAGAGTGAGGTGACAGTGGTACAGGAGTAATAGTTGTACTAGATACTGATACACAAGACTAGAGCCTCTCGCGGCTGTCAGTCTGAAAATTTTTATATATAAGTCGCACTGGAGTATAAGTCGTAGGAAACACCCAAACCATTAAAAAAAGTGCAGCTCATAGTCCGAAAAATACGGTAAGCTATGGGAGTCCGGAGGAACACAATAAGAACTGAATAAGATCTTTTTATACAAGAAGATCTGCAGCTGCTGCCTCTGTGTGTCTCTATGGTGAAGTCTAGAGAAGAATACAGCCCATGAAACAGGTGTACTCAGGCAAAAGTTTACTGTCTAGACCAGAATCACATCAGTCCGAGCCTCTCATGATTAATCAGTGCACAGTGAACATGTATTGTTGATTTAGTTCGCGAAATATTAGCCAGGCTCAATTTCATTTCTCTCCAGCGACTAGGTCAGGAATCGGAATTCACTAAACGGTTTGCAAGAACCCCGGAAGTTGTAGAGAAGAGCTGTGAAGCCATGACGTCAAACTCGTCGTGTCCGTCTGGGTCCCTTTTGTGGAACAGCACAACAGTAAACAAAGCGTCGAGACGGATGTAGACGAAGACAGACATTCTGTGTTGGCAACGATTCCCGAAATCGAGCATTTAAAGCTGGAACAAAGAGAATGTTTGGTGAATTTTATCAAGCGGAAAGACGTTATTGTCCTTCTTCCTACAGGATTTGGTGCATTACAAACATCACGACCAAATAGTAGCGATTGGTTAAATAAAAAAGTACCTGCCTACCGTCGAGCAAACAAATCCCAATGCTGTGAAACCGGTGAATCAGGCTATCAAGATGCATCAGTAAAAGCTTTTCTGTGTATTTTGACTGAAAACCGCTTCACTGCATGAGCCTCGAGCAGGAGAATGTGCTTGGAGTTAGTGTTGGGTAGAAGAGCGGCTTCGGCTGTGACCCAGGGCACGCACACTGTTTTGCTGTGAGGTCTGTACTCTCCAGTCTGACCCAGGAGCACACACTCTGAGACGTCCCGCTCGGGGCACGATCGCCTGCCGCTCTGTTACAAAATGCTCTTTTGGACGTCATGTTTCTCCTCACGCTCTCTAACCCGTGTGTGTGTGTTTTTGTTTCTCACTGTACCTGCGTGTCTCAGCATGGTGACGATGGGCGTGCAGTTCTCGGTGTTGATCGCGCTGCACTCGTGTCTGCTCCTGGTCACTACGGCAGAGGATTACAAGTGTCTCCCCCTGGTGCTTGAGGACGGCGTGCTGCTGGGTCAACGAGACCGCCTCCGCACGCAACGCCATCGTCTGCCTCTCCATCCTCATCAACTTCCTGGCCGCCATGATCAACATCGTGAGTGCCACTGACACACTTAAAGAGGATGTGTTTGTTTTTAGGTTCTTTTTTCAGACCAAGAGTTTGTTTTCGTACCTGACAGTTTCGACCGCTCCCCGTGGTCTTCCTCAGAGTCACGCGATGTTGCTGTGACGTGTCGCTCTGTTGATTTAAACAGGTTTTGGCGCTGTCTTCTTACCGGTGGAGGGAGGACGACAGCGCCATCTGCAGTCCCACTTCCTCAGGACTGTATCCCAGGTGTGTGAGAGTAAAAAAGCCCCTCGTCTCAGTTTATAGTTTCCGTATTTCGATTGCCTCTTTAATCCAGCGACGATGTTTGTTGGCAATGGGAAAACACAATATGAACACACCACTGAAACCGTACAGAAAACTCAGGTAATTACTCGTCCACCCAAAAGATAAAATAGAACCAGAGCAAAAATGTAATGTGATATACGAAATACCCTACATGTCCTGCAATAAAACACACATCAGGAAAACAGGGAGAGCGTTCAGCCCACGTTCAGTACAGCTTTGCGTTTTGCTTTGTGCAAAACACAAAAGAGAACAAGAACAACTCAAATTGGCCAAATTTGATGACTGTAAAAGAGAGAACCACATCATGGACTGGGACGGAGTAAACATCATTGGGACAGAGGAAAACAAACATAGTTGCTGGATTAAAGAAGGACTATAAACTGGGATGTGGGGGCTTTTTTACTCTCACACACTTGGGAAACTGTCCTGAAAAAGCCAGACTGCAGATGGCGCTGTCGTCCTGCCTCCACCGGTAGGAAAACAGCACCAAAATCTGTTTAAATCAACTGAGCGACACGTCACAGCAACATCACGTGACTCTGAGAAAGACCACAGGGAGCGGTCGAAACTGTCAGGTATGAAAATAAACTCTTGGTCTAAAAAAGAACCTAAAAAGAACCTGAAACAACCTAAAAGAACCTAAGCATTAATTAACAGAAGATCAAATGAATCTCTTTGGAGGATGTATTACGTTCCTGGAGGAGGACGTCACCACCTCATGACATCACAAGGTGGAACTCTAGATTTTTGGCCCATTGAGAATACAATTGTCTATTTCAAGAGAGTCCTGACCATGACAGGAGCACTGTGATTGCTCAGTAGGACAGTGGCGTGAGTGTCAGTGTCAGTGTTAGTGGTTATTGGAGGGATGATGGTGCAGACTGGCAGCCTCGCTTTTGTCGGTTTGCCCCGGGGCAACTCTGGCTACAATCGTAATTTACCACCACAGAGTGTGAAGTGAATGAATAATGCTCTGTAAAGTGCTTTAGGTCTGTAGAAACTCTGTATTATTCTTATTAAACCCTGAGGCGCGCAGAGGCAGATCCTCTCAGAGAGACAGTTTCAAGAAGCTTCAGTGAGTTGTGTTTAATACTAATATTACAAGTTATTAAAGTCAGTACAGTTAGATAGGAATGGAGTTTTAATTTTTTTAATCTGATATTTGGCCTGCTGCTGTGGCCGATAACTGATATTTTCCAGATATCCAGTCCGATATTTAACTTTTAAGATCCACAGCGAGTCTCACAGATTTATTTCATTTATTGAAGTTAAGATCACAGATGAACAAAATGTATTTCTCTGGGATATATAGTGACGTCTTACATGGTTGTGTCTGTTCAAAAACACTCATCTGTTGGAGGAAAATCTACAAATTGAACTGTGCTTAAAAAAAATAAAAATTGAATTGAATTGAATTGGTATCTCCTGATACTGTGGGGTCAGCCTTATGTTTCCACAGCTCTAAGATTTTTCTTATTTCTAAGATTTTTCTCAAAATGAAAGTTTAAGTCAAGTCATTTTCATTTGTATACCACATTTAAAGGGATGATTCAACCTCGGATCCTTTGCACCATGACCTCTACATGTAGTCAACTGCTGCTGGAGAATAAGTTGGGTGTAACTGATGACCAAATTGGGAAAAATGGGGATAAATTTTGATGTAAAGTGATGATAAATTAAATGTGGGAACATAAGGGAGCCTAATTTGAAGAGAAAAAAAAAAAAACTGAAATGATGAGGAAACATAAGGCTGAGGGAACATAGGCACGCTCCCGATACCGGTACTAAAACTACCTCTACTACTAAAACATGTGTCCCGTCCCACCGTCCCACCGTCCCACCGTGAGCCTGACTGCAGCTCTGTGCTCTTGTGTTCCAGTTGTGGTGTGACTTCGACAAGCCCAGCGCGCTCCGAAACCAGACGTACAACATGTCCGGGGCGGTGTCAGACATCTGCTTCTACCCCGAGGTGAGACCAGCTTCAACGTTCAGCTGATCCCGTGACGCCAACTTCTGACCCTCTGCACTCGTTTACGCAGTCCATGGAGTGCCGGATCTTGTGTGTAACGCTGCGTTTGTTTGTGTGGTTTTTTTGTGTTTGTGCGTCAGTACTTTGTGTTCACGGGCGTGCTGGCCATGGTGACCTGCGCCGTGTTCCTGCGCCTCAACTCCGTGCTGAAGCTGGCCATCCTCCTCCTCATGATGGGAGTGTACTCTCTGCTGACCGAGGCCTTCTACACGGCCCTGTTTGTGCGATACGACACTGTCCACCACAACACACAGTGAGTAACACACACCAGACCAGGACTGGACCGGGACTAGACCAGGACTGGGACCAGGACTGGACTAGACCAGGACTGGACAAGGGCTAAACCAGGACTGTCCAACACAATACACAGTGAGTAAAAGACACCTGACCAAGAACAGACCAGGCCTAGACCAGGACCAGACCACGACTAGACCAGGGCTAGACCAGGACCAGACCACGACTAGACCAGGGCTAGACCAGGACCAGACCACGACTAGACCAGGGCTAGACCAGGACCAAACCAGGAGTGAACCAGAACTAGACCAGGATAGGATGAGGGCTAAACCAGGACTGTCCACCACAACACACAGTAACAGAGACTAGACCAGGACTAGACCAGGACTAGACCAGGACCAGGCCAGAACCAGACCAGGACCAGACCAGGACTAAACCTGGATTGAACCAAAAGTAGACTAGGACCAAAAGACTAAAAAGTACTACAGCAAAAGTACCACAGAAAAAGTATTACAGTAAGAGTACCGCGGTAGAAGTATCATAGTAAAAGAACAACAGTAAAAGTACCACAGTAAAATACTGCAGTAAAAGTACTGCAGTAAATGTACTAAAGTAAAAGTACTGCAGTAAAAGTACCACAGTAAAAGTACTACAGCAAAAGTACTACAGTAAAAGAACTCCAGAAAAAGTACTACAGTAAGAGTACCGCAGTAAAAGTATCATAGTAAAAGAACAACAGTAAAAGTACCACAATAAAAGTACTACAGCAAAAGTACCACAGTAAAAGAACTCCAGAAAAAGTACTACAGTAAGAGTACTATGGTATAAGTACCGCAGTAAAAGTTCCACTGTAAAAGTACTACAGTAAAAGTACTGCAGTAAAAGTACCACAGTAAAAGTACTACAGCAAAAGTACCACAGTAAAAGAACTCCAGAAAAAGTACTACAGTAAGAGTACTACAGAAAAAGTACCGCAGTAAAAGGAATACAATAAAAGTACTGCAGTAAAAGTACCACAGTAAAAGTACTACAGCAAAAGTACCACAGTAAAAGAACTCCAGAAAAAGTACTACAGTAAGAGTACCACAGTAAAAGTATCATAGTAAAAGAACAACAGTAAAAGTACTGCCATAAAAGTACCAGAATAAAAGTACTACCGTAAAAGTACTACAGAAAAAGTACCACAGTAAAAGTACCACAGTAAAAGTACTACAGAAAAAGTACCGCAGTAAAAGTACTATGGTATAAGTACCGGAGTAAAAGTAATACAGTAAAAGTAATACAGTAAAAGTACTACAGTAAAAGTACCGCAGTAAAAGAACAACAGTAAAAGTACTACAGCAAAAGTATCACAGTAAAAGTACTGCAGTAAAAGTATCGCAGTAAAAGTACTATGATAAAAGTACCGCAGTAAAAGTACTACAGCAAAAGTACCAGAGTAAAAGTACTGCAGTAAAAGTGCCACAGTAAAAGTACCAGAGTAAAAGTAATACAGTAAAAGTACTACAGTAAAAGTAATACAGTAAAAGTAATACAGTAAAATTACCGCAGTAAAAAAGCTACAGTAAAAGTACAACAGTTAAAGTACCTCACTAAAAGTACAGCAGTAAAAGTACCACAGATACTGCAGTAGGCCATGATGAGTTGAGTGGAGTTGTGGAGGTTTGTTGTGGAGGTGTCAGCAGGTTTGGCCTTTGCTCTGGTCACATGACACAGAGGTGAGAAATCCCACCCCCAGGCCGACCACGAATGCACTACGACCTTTCCTCTGACAGCACCGAGTCATGTGACCGGGTCATGTGGCACAAACACCGCTCTGCAGAGACTCACACCGTGGAGCTACTAGAATAACTGGACTGAGTGTTGCTGCCTGTAGCTGTCTGGAGTTGACGTAGTGGACACTCACTGGAACTTCAGCGAAAAAAATCCCTCTGGCCCAGAAAGAATTTTTCTCTTAGAGCATAATATAATCACAAACTGCTCGTGTTCGGCTGACAGGGCACTTACTGCGATAAAAAATGTCAAATTTTGTGGCGATTTCTACCTATTTTCTCAGCTCAAAGTCCTTCGGGTGTCTTAAAATGAGCTTTTTAATCGTTAGCTCCGGCTCCGCTCTAGCTCCTCTCACTCTGATTAATAATAATGATAATACCTTCCATTTATATAACATTTTTTTAGCGGTTTTCAAGACAGCCAAAGCGCTCTGTCTTCCGTGGTCCACAACCTGGAGCGGGGAACAGTGAGCTGAGACGAGGAGGAAGAGGAGGAGCGGAGGGTGTGTGGGTTTGGAGCAAGTTTGAGAGGTTCTGAGGGGCCTGGGCGTGGAGTTGAGGAGGAGGTTGTAGGTGAGGAGAAGAATCTTGTACTGGATCTCGTATTTTATAGGAAGCAGGTTCATGTGGACGAGAGTTGGGGGTGATGTGTTGCCAGGGCTCGGTGTTAGTGACGATCCTGGCTGCAGAGTTTTGGCTGTATGTCCAGAAGCTTTTGGGAAATCCCGGACAGGACGCGGTTGCAATAGTCTAAGCAGGAGTTAATAAATGAGTGAATAAGTGTTTGAGGAACCGAGTCCAGGAGAGATCGACGGAGGTGGGAGGTGGTAAACGGCAGATTTTGTGACTGATTTGATGTGGGTTTCAAAGGAGAGGTTTGATGCCCAGGTTGCGGACTGTTGGGGAGGGGCGGAGGTCATTGCCATGGATTTTGAGCACCAAATCTTCAACCTTCTGGAGCAGTGGTCTGGTGGCAAAACCATGAGCTCTGTTTTATTGGTGTTGAATTTGAGGAAGTTGGACGATAACCAGGTTTGAAGATCGATGAGGCAGTTGGAGAGAGACTGAGAGGGGAGATGCAGAGGCGGTGCTACCATTAGGCAAATTAGTTGGCTGCTTAGGGCCCCCGAACCTGGAGGGGCCCCCAAACAATACATGGATCCCGAATTTCGGACTTCCGGTCATGTCGCGATGCATACTGGGAAGGATCCTCCAAAAAGTGAGCATCAAATTGCCATGCTTGATTTATTGTCAAAGTCTATCTTTTCAAGTCTTTTGAACCATATCTCTTTTGTTTCTGGTTCTGGTATTGTCATATTTTAGTTTTGGGATTCAGACATCGTCATTGTGTGGTTGTTGGATGTCCTAACAGTGGAAAACGGCTCAAGAAATAGGCTTCGGAAGTTTGCAAACTCCTTAACTGCAAAAGGGAATCAGATCTGTGTGACTGTAAACCTCTGTTCAAACTGTTGTTGTGAAAGGTGAAGGTGATGGGCAGGATTGATCCACAGAAAGGATGAAAAAAAAGAAACCTTTGGCTGCCTAAGAAATCATCTCGAGTTTGCAGCGAACATTTTATATGTGGAGCGCCGACAAAGCAAAATCCCGATCACTCGCTCAACCTTGGTCAAAAATTTAAAAACCCAAGGCCAAAGCGAAAGGCACCAGCTGATCACCAAGAAACACCTTCCACTGCAAATAGACCAAGTCATGATGTTGCTGTAAAACCAAAAGAACAAGAAAGTGTGAGCTCAGCCTGTTTGTCTTCTAAACCTCTCACTTTACAAACACATTTTGCTTTGTTGTCGCTCCACATACAAAATGTTCGCTCCAAACTCAGGATGATTTAGGCAGTCAAAGGTTTCCTATTTCGTCCTTCCTGTGGATCAATCCTGCCCATCGCCTTCACCTTTCACTATTTTTCAGTTCCGTATAGAATGGAAATGGAATGGAGTTCGCAAACTTCCCAAGCCCGTTTTCTGCTGTTAGGATCCAACAACCACACAATTACGATGTCCGAATCCCAGAACCAAAATATGACAATATCAGAACCAGAAACAAAAGCGATACGGTTCAAAAGACTTGAAAAGATCGACTTTGACAATAGACGCACTCAGACCCACTGGGAAAAACAAACATGGCGGTTTGATGCTCACTTTTTCAGGTGATCCTTCCCAGTATGCGTTGCCCGATGACTGTAAGTCCGAAATTCTGGATGCATGTAATGGCTGAGGCCTCAGAGCAATTTGATTTTCTCTCAATATGACATTAAACGAGAGTAGTTTTACTTTTAAACAACCGAAAAACACCATCAAAATAGAATCTGATTGTCAAATCTAGTTTTACTGTCAAAACATTTGCCCCTTTCACGTTAGAATGGATGAGTCAGCTTGACCCTAATTTGAACATAATCATAGTGTAATTATATATAATGGATGTAAACAAAAATGTTATCGTACTCGCAAAAAAATAAAACTACTTTCATCTCTGTTTTTCTAGTAGACGACTGAACTAATAAGACAAGTTTCCAATCCACCATAATTCAAATAAAGATGTGTGTCTCAAGAACAATGGGGAAAAACAGACAATAAACACTAAAAAATAGAACAAAACAGTGTATTATAGTGAGGGCCCCAAACTGAAACTCGCCTAGGGCCCCCAAATTGTTAACTCCGCCACTGTGGAGATGTAAATTTGTGCATCATCGACGTATGAATATAAGTTGAGTCAGTGTTTACGTATGATTAATCCGAGGGGGAGCACATAAATAATACATCAAATGGTCACATGACACACAAGACCTCACGTGCATTTGCGAGTGTCGGCAGGAGAATGGAGCACTTCTGCACATGTTCAATGGGCAGGGAGTCGGGCGAGGTTAATCTGGAGACATGTGCCATTGAGCTCGGTCCATTGACTTGAATGACTTGATTTGTTTAGACCCCGGGGCTTGAGTCACACGCACAACTAAACAGCTACACACGAGTCTGTATGAATGATTTGTTTATTTGTTTGATATTGAGAGTGCAGATTAATCCGTGTATCATTCGTTCATTCGTTTTTCAATATAAAACCAAAAATAAGAAAACGAAAAAACAACAGTTTTCTTTGTTATTTGTCTCCAAAACCAAAATGAAAAAACGGATAATGATTCGTTTTTTCAGTTTTCGATTTTGTGTTTAAATGAAGAATGGAAAAAAACGGATAACGGCCGTTTCCCGTTTACGTGACTTCCGTGACTGCGATGCCGAACTTTTGCACCGCGTACGGACTGAACCAGGACTGATCCAGGTCCGAGACCAGACCGGGATCAGAGTGGAACTGAGACCGGGGACCAGAGCGGGATCAGAGCGGAACTGAGACCGAGACCAGCGGTCCGCGCTGGTTCCGTGCGGGGAAAGTGAGAATGCGCTGTGCACTACAGGTCCGGACGGGCTACTCCGGTCTGGTTCCGAGGTGGTGCAAAGCATCCAACTGACGCTTTCACACCATCGAAAACTAACCCAACTAAGAGCTTTTGGTTCAAATGGACCAGGTCCGGGACCAGACCGGGACCAGAGCGCTACTGAGACTGGGACCAGACCGGGACCAGAGCGGGCCTGAGACAGAGACAAGACCGAGACAAGACCGAGACAAGACCGAGACCAGATCGGAGGCTCAGAGCCCACGGCAGGGCCGGAGCTCGAAGCTGAGGCTTGGACCCCGCGGAGGCTCAGAGTCAAAGCTCGGAGTCCGCCCCGGTCCCGCTCTGGTCCCGGTCTGGTCCCGCTCTGGTCCCGCTCTAGTCCCGGTCTGGTCTCGGACCTGGATCAGTCCTGGTTCAGTCCGTACGCGGTGCAAAAGTTCGGCATCGCAGTCACGGAAGTCACGTAAACGGGAAACGGCCGTTATCCGTTTTTTCCATTCTTCATTTAAACACAAAATCGAAAACTGAAAAAACGAATCATTATCTGTTTTTTCATTTTGGTTTTGGAGACAAATAGCAAAGAAAACTGTTGTTTTTTCGTTTTCTTATTTTTGGTTTTATATTGAAAAACGAATGAACGAATGATACACGGATTCAGATTAATGTTAGAATGTGGTTTCCTCATCACAAACAGACCTGGAGCTGTGTTTTTATTGTTGTTTTTTTTCATTCACACATGTTTAACACACAAACCCTTACGGAACCCCTGAGTGGCAAGAGAAAAAAAAAAAGTTTTCCTTTCCTTCCATTTTGCACAAACATTTCTAAAAAAAAAAAAAAAAAATCTCTTGTGTTTTTTGTGGTGACTTTTTTTTTTTTTTTTTTTTTTTCTGACGGCTGGTTGATGTGGCTGAGAAAAAAAAACAAAAAAAAAACTACCACTTACCACTCCAGAGTCTAAGTGTGAACCACAGTTGAGTTGTTGGTGCAAAATGAAAAAAAAATAATAATAAATTCAATAAAAATGAAGACAATTTTTTTTTTTTTTTTTTTTTTTCTGAAAAAAAAAAAAAAAAAAAAAAAAAAAACACCCAAATGAAGTGCCTCTATTCTTTTTTTTTTTTTTTTTTTTTTTTTTTTTTGTGTCTTTTGCTGCTCAGGGCTTCTGTAATTCCTGCATCTTTAGGCTAGAATTTTTCTCTTAGATGGATGAATGAAAAACAATAAAATGAGAAAACACTTTGTTATTTCATTATTCTGTTTTAGTGTCTATTTCCAATATTGCATTTCAAGTCTCTGTGCCTATTTTAATTTTGATATTTATTTTATTCTCTCTGGTTTATTTGCCCCGCAAGTTCTGCAGCAGTGTCGACCATGGATCTATAATAAAAAAAATATTTTTATTATAGTTCTGTGGAGTCAAGAGAAAATAAAATATCAAAATTAAAACAAGCACTGAAACTGTTTTTTGATTAGTGGTATTTAAAAGAAACTAAACAAAAACTGAATAATGAAATAACAAACTCTTCTCCAATTTTATTGTTTTAATTGAAATTCAGAAGAACGGATGGGACACGGACCCATGTGGTATTACAGGAAGTGCTCTACTGTTTTTACAAACTCCATACACCTTCACTAGAATCATTTGGATTATTTCTGCCCTGGAATTACCAATCTCTACTGAATTTAAGGTAAAATATTGCTAAATCTTCCTAAACCAGTGGTGCAGATGGCAATAGTGTTACCTTGGACAAATTGACTCTAGCTTGGCTCCAGATTAATAACTGTAAGCCTCCATGAGCTTCATTTGACTGGAACTGAACACTCTCCACTTATTTTTCTTTGGTCTCAAACAAAACATTTACAATCACATTTGGATATCATAAATGTCGTATTTACATTATTGTTATCAGAGGAGGTCCCAAGGAAGACCTAGGACATGCTGGAGGTGCTAGGAGCCTAGGAGACACAGTCAGGTAGTGAAGGAAGTGAGGGAGTCCTTGTCTAGACTGCTTCAGAATAACAGAAAAAAGACACTATTTTGTCCACATCTCCACGTCTTACACTTAAAAGTTCTGATGTTTCCCAAAATGATGTGTTTTTCTGTTTGTTGTTGTTGTAGGAACTTCTTGGGGACCAAAGAAACATCTCTTCTTCTCATGGCCATGTTCCTCCTGGCCGTCTTCTACCACGGACAGCAGGTCAGGCTTTGGAGATCTCCTCAAATTACATCTGACCCTCTCCTCTGCTCCTCTGACCCTGTGCTCCTCTGCTCCTCTCCTCTGACCTTCTCCTCTGCTCCTCTCCTTTGCTCCTTTGACCTTCTCCTTTTCTCTTCTGCTCCTCTGATTATCCCCTCCACTCCTCTGCTCCGCTACTTCTCTGCTCCTCTGATCCTTTCCTTTGCTCCTCTAAGCTTCTCCTCTGCTTCTCTCCTCTACTCCTCTGCTCCTCTCTTCTTCTCCTCCTCTCTTCTACTCCTCTGCTCCTCTACTTATCTGCTCCTCTGCTCCTCTACTCCTCTCTTCTGCTCCTCTATTCCTCTTCTCTGCTCCTCTCTTCTGCTCCTCTCTTCTTCTCCTCCTCTCCTCTGCTCCTCTTCTCTTCTACTCTTCTACTCCTCTGCTCCTCTACTCCTCTCCTCTACTCCTCTGCTCCTCTCTTCTTCTTCTCCTCCTCTCTTCTGCTCCTCTTCTCCTCTACTCTTCTACTCCTCTGCTCCTCTACTTATCTCCTCCTCTGCTCCTCTGCTCCTCTCTTCTGCTCCTCTCTCTTCTTCTCCTCCTCTCCTCTGCTCCTCTTCTCCTCTACTCTTCTACTCCTCTGCTCTCTACTTATCTGCTCCTCTCCTCCTCTGCTCCTCTCTTCTGCTCCTCTCTCTTCTGCTCCTCTGCTCCTCTCTCTGCTCCTCTCTTCTTCTCCTCCTCTCCTCTGCTCCTCTTCTCCTCTACTCTTCTACTCCTCTGCTCCTCTACTTATCTGCTCCTCTACTCCTCTACTCCTCTTCTCTGCTCCTCTGACCCTCTCCTCCTCTGTTCCTCTACTCCTCTCCTCTACTCCTCTTCTCCTCTACTTCTCTACTCTTCTGCTCCTCTCCTCTGCTCCTCTCCTCTGCTCCTCTTCTCCTCTACTCCTCTGCTCATCTACTCCTCTGCTCCTTTACTTCTCTATTCCTCTGCCTCTCTTCTCCTCTGACCCTCTCCTCTACTCCTTCTCTGCTCCTCTGCAACCTCCCCTCTTCTCCTCTCCTCTCCTCCTCTCCTCTTCTCCTCTCCTCTGCTCCTCTAATCCTCTAATCTTCTGCTCCTCTCCTCTGCTCCTCTCCTCTGCTCCTCTCCTCTGCTCCTCTCGTCTGTACCTCGTGGAGCACAAACACATGTTTATTAAAGCCCGTCCGTCGTGTGCTTCCGTGCGCCTGTTCATTTGTGTTTAATTGAAACCACCGATGTGAGAGGTGATGTAAAAGCGCCGCAGCTCGGGGACACTTGGCGGCTCCCGTGTTAATGCGCTGTGTTCATAAAGATAATGATCAGGTTTAATCGTGCATCTATTTCCTGATTGGGGAAAAAGGCCTAAAATAAAGCACTCTGAGAGGACTGTGTGTACTGTCTGCATCATAATGACCGTGTGCTCATCTATAAATGGAACATGACTTACAGTATTGGGGCTTAGTATTGATCGGATGTACTTTTCATTTCAGTGGGAAAGGTTTGTACAAGTTAAATGTGTGGGTCGAATAACACTGTGGTCAAACTACTGCACCCTGTGACCTGTTTGTCTGTCAGGCTCATGTTTTTAGCTTTAAAGGGGAAAATGTTCTGGTAGTGACTATTTTGACGCAAAGGTCTTCATCTTGAAATCAACCAGGTTACCGTATTTTCCGCACTATTAGGCGCTCTGGATTATAAGACGCACTGTCATAGAATGGTCTGTTTTCAAACTTTTTTCACAAATAAACCAAACCGGACTTTAAAGGAAACACAACAGTGTGATGGGTGAGTGGTTTTGTTTGTTCGTTCGTTCACGGTGACTCTGGGCTTTGTTCAGTTGTGGCGTGTAGGGAGGGTGCTGTCTGGGACCAACGGATTGTCGGCGTGTTCGCAGTGACTCAGTTGTTCAGTCGTGTCCAGAAGCGGCACATTGCGCTCGCTTTTTCGGTTCGTTTCTTCGTTCCGTTCCTCGTCGGCGTGGAGTGACGAGTGTGGCTGTGGGTGTGTTTCTCTGTGCGGTCGCTGTCTGCTCCGTGCGCGTTTGCGGATTTGTAGTTTACTGAAGTCGTGCTGGGACACCCGAGTGGATTCGTGTATAGGGCGCTCTGGATTGTGGGGCGCGCAGTCGTTTTTTTGATGGGGTTGGAGGCTTAAGAGCGCGCCCTATAGTGCGGAAAATACGGTAAGTTCAAGTCCACTTTATTGTCTCGTAGAAAGTAAGTCCTCTGCATTTGACCCGTCCTTCGGTGCTGCTGGGTCTTCTCAGGAGCAGTGGACCCATCTCCAGATGCTGAGCTGGTCTTGGTCAAGTCTACATTAGTTGCACTGAGCTTGTTTTAGACCACATTTACACTGAAACAAACCAGCGTTTCACCGTATCGGAAACGATCTGTGTCCAGACATGTCGTTTCTATGTCCGCAAGCCTCTCCTATCCACACAGCTTTGAGCATATTTGTTTACGTTTTACGGCTTTTTACAGTTTTACAGCTTGTGTTGGACTAAAGGACACGACTGAAACTGTGGAATATGAGTGTTCTTTCTGTGACAGAGGGGTGTTCTGCTGATGGTGAGTCTCTTCTGTGCTTCTATTGCACTGGAGGTGGTTCATGTGAAACTTTTTAGAGATTATACATCTGCAGGTCGTACGCACAGACCATTTATATGAATATATTCTAGCCTCTTCACGTTTTGGCGGTGAATTAGCTACATGGTTGATGGCATGTGTTTTTTTATGTTAGTTGAAGGACAAACAAGCTTCATGTAAAGAATAGGAGAAGAAGTTTGTTATTTCCTAAAATTACGTTAAGGAATGTTTATGGACCCCAATAGACCATTTGCTGTTGCTAAAGTTGACTTGTCACAGTGCACCTTTATGACTACAGTTGTTGCTTGACCATGTCTTGATCACTCTGTCTGACATGAGCCTCACACCTGTTGTCCACCACAGTGTATAAAAACTGTCCGTTCCTGAGGCTCACTCTCTCTGTCGTTGCATGTCGGCAGTAGAGCCAGAGCTCTGTGTGTTTGTATTAAACCTTCAGAAAACGCTCTTGTGGTCCTCACCTCTTTTCTTATACAGCAACCAGAAAATCATGATATCAGTGGTGCATAGACCTACATCAGAGTATCAGTGTTTTCAGGCGTCCACACGGTGCCGGATCAGATCTGTACTTAGACGAATTCGTGGGAGCTGGCGGCACCAGATTGTTCCGTCTCTGGAGTCATTTTCCATCGGATTAGTGTGAACAAACACTACATCCACAACAAAAATGATTCAAATATGTACTAGTGTGGACTGGGCCTCAGGTGGATGAGGGAAACTGACCACAAGGACACAGGAGGAAACATCCAAGGCACAAACAGAAAGCCCCTGGGAGTTTGAAAGTTGAACCCACAGTGTTTTTGCTGTGAGTGCTGGCCACTGAACCACTGTGCTGCAGGTGGTGTGCTCTTCACTAGACAAGTTGCATAGTACATCTTTAACATATGGTTGATTTAGCCGTTTTTTAGGGTTCTTGGTCTAAAGTTTCTCCTCATATCTTCTGTAACAGCATGATGGAGATGAAGCCGCTGTGGTGACAGACGTAGTAACACTGGTGCCTCCATCTGTAATGGATCATTTACATGAATCATTCATTTGAGTTTACATGTGCTCTCCACTGCAAATTTGGAGCCAACTCTCAACTGGTGCTCTCCTCTGCTCCTCTGACCATCTCCTCCTCTGACCCTTTCCTCTGCTCCTCTCCTCTGTTCCTCTGACCCTCTCCTCTGACCTTCTCCTCTGCTCCTCTGACCTTCTCCTCTGCTCCTCTGTTCCTCTATTCCTCTGACGCTCTCCTCTGTTCTCTGTGTTTCTCAGTTGGAGTACACTGCGAGGTTGGATTTCTTGTGGAGGGTCCAGGCGAAGGAGGAGATCAACGAGATGAAGGAGCTGAGGGAGCACAACGAGAACATGCTGAGGAACATCCTGCCCAGCCACGTGGCAAGACACTTCCTGGAGAAGGATCGCGACAATGAGGTGAGAGCACAGACTTTGGAGCAGATCAGAACATTTGATTACATGAAATGGACTTTATTCTTGATGAGAAAAATTATGTCCAAATATAACGTATCAAATGAAACAGAAAACACACACCAAAGTTCTTGTAGATGTGCAAATGCTGTGATGATGTCCGAAAGCTTTTTTCTTTTATTTTTAAATAACGTTTCAGCAACAAATGCCTTCATCAGATATTTTTCTTGCTTTGGACTACAGTATACAAAATAGTTGCCAGCCCAGGTGCTCATACTCTGTGTTTGATTATCTTCTGACTCCCGATTGGACCTCAGATTTGACGTCACGTCCGAGCTTAAAGTGTATTATTATGTTTCGTGTGTCGGACTATGTGGATTATGATTATGACTATTCTCTCATCTTATGAAAACTGCCACTTTAATTAATTTAATTAAATTTTTAAAATTTGCACTTCATTTTATGGTATAATTTCTGTTCTGTTACAACCATAGAGACATTAATGCGTGTTAAATCAAGTATTTGTTCAATATTGGCCTCACCACAACACAGACCACCAAACCCACAGGCAGTGATACAGACACAGTAAAGTTCTGCAGTGATACGAGTGACTGAAACTGTCATTTAAATCACCAAAGTGTCCAAACACAATGAAAACACTTCATATTTACACATCACAGAGGGCGTAGCCACTCGAAATCTTTGTTCAATCTACTTTTTCCACGACCGAGGTCCAAGTCGTGCCATCCCGAAAAAGGAGTTTTTCATTGCGTGTCGCTAGGCAACTTCCTCAGAAAACCGATTCAGAAGGCGAATCGAACACAGCGAATGGGTTAGGGTTCTTCTCCCAAAGTGAGGTCACCCAGTGAGATTATCCCACTCTACAACGAGAAAAAAAGAGTTTAGATATTTACATAAAAAACATTCTATTAAATACAAAAATAGTTTGACCGTATCACAAAAAGCATCTTAAGTCAAACTCAGTCATGATATATAAAACATTCATTTACAAAGCATCAACATCTCCTAAAAGAAAAGCATTCGGTGGAAAAGTTACACAATGAATCTTTAAGGTTAAACATGGGAAATAAAATGACTTATTCTCATAATTTCTCGAGTAATTTTCACAAATTTAGGGTCATTAGTTAGATTTTAGATAATTACTACAACTTTCAAAACAATACAGAAAAAAGTATTGTACAAATGTCCTAAAAGGTTTACGCAAAACTTTCAAACTGAAAATAAATATAGCCTACAAATATGAACCTTAAAGCATACTTTGAACATGCAATAAGGCATAGAAAAACATAAATGTATCCAAAATAAGCTATAAATCCAGGTGTTCTACAATAAATATACTTATTTATATTAAAAAATCCCAAAATAAACTTAATTTCAATTCGATTATATGAGTTTGGAGATCGTTTGACACACAAATCGAAATCAAAATTCAATTTATTGCACAGCTTTAAATTGAATAATATTTTAATCAATTTTGAGGGAACACAACACAGTCACAATTCAAAAATAATTTGCAAAACCTATTTATGAAGTGCCTGAACAACCCAAAATGTGTTGGACATGTATGTGGACAACAGATCCTAAGAGGTTACGATTCCCTCTGTTCCACCTCATGATGAAATTGACAATCTCTACTGAACTAAAGGTAAAAGAAGCTGTGAACTTACTCAAACATGTGTGAATGAAACAAAACATAACTCCAGGTCTGTTTTTGAGGAGGAAACCACATGATTTAAAGTTTACAAGAGTCCATTTTGCGTAATATTGGAGCTTTCTAGTTATTTTCACAGTGTTTGAAGTGTTTACTTAAAAACAAATTTTCAGAGGCAGAACTTTGAGACTGGACTCTATAAATACCCGTCCGTGCAGAGGAGGAGAGACAGCTGTATCTGCAGTGAGAGCTCCATTGATTTGCCGTGTGTTTTTGCATGGCTCCTGAGCCTCTCGTGCCTCTCGTCTCGGCTCCGGTCCCTAAGTGCAGCTCTCATTTCTCAAACATCGATTTTTCCACAGCAAAGACGACCTGCTGTTTATGGAGAGTCCAACGTGGCAACCGCACGGGAAACGGCACGGGCCAATACCGAGAAAAACGCGACAGTGCGGAGAAAGTATCTAACTGTACTTTACTCACAAATGAGGACACAAACACAGACTGAGACACAGACTGAGGCAGAGACTGAGACGGAGAGCAGGCTGTCAGGGTCACACTATAGATGCAAGCTTCAACGTTACGATACGCTCTCTTTCCATGTGGGACGTGACTCTCATCGCACCATCGATGTCGTCATTTCATCTTCATGTTTTTATAAGTTAGACAAATTTTAATACATAAATTAATAGATAATCTATAAAAGGAAAAAAGAAAGAATACAATGACATCTAGATGAAGAAAATTTGACCATTTTCTCAGTTTTCCCAGATTTTGTCAGAGTTACTTTCGCCAACAGAGCCCGTAGGAAGTCGTCATCCGCATGTTTCCGAACGTCTGCCGGTTTTGTGACGTAAGAGTGAATAGAACTCATTCTGATTCAGATTAAGATTTGGAATTTCCTTCAGGATAAATAAAGTATCTATGGGACTAAATCGTGGGCCAAACTAAACATTTATTGAAAAATTTTAAAGACATCTGCGTGTTTTCTCTTCTTTCGAGATATGTAATGTTAAACCTTTTCTTATTAAAATAAATGTTTAATAATAGTTTTGCTTAAACACTGAATCCAGAACAAGCATAATGTAAAATAATAACATTTTAAATAAATAATGTCTCTATAGTCTATCTGTAGCTGGTGGGCAGCTCTAATAAATATTTATTATGATCTTGTGGGCCAAATATTTTTATATTGCAGGCCAAATTTGGCCTGATGTCTGCACTACAACTTCACAAACCTGAGTTGCTCTTCAGTATAAGCCGCACCAGCCAAAAAATGCGTAATGAAGAAGAAAAATATATATAAGTCGCACTTTTTGGGGGAAATTTATTTTATAAAATCAGAGACCAGGAACCGACATTTCCTGTTGAAAGTCAAAGTTCAAGTAAAAACAATAGAACAGAGAACAGATTGTTAACGTCACATATGAACAGTTCTTCAGATAAACTATAACATAAACAACAGAACAGAAGTTTAACAAACTCTCCATCTCACTCCAAATCACTAAATCCATTCAATTCTTTATCCTCGGTGTCACTTCTGAGCAACTCCACGACATCCGGAGGTAAACAGAGCGCCGCTTCCTCTTCTGTGTCGCTGTCGTCAGACTCAGCATCAGTTCCAGTTAGAATTATTCGGGTCTTTCTGAATCCCGACAGGATGGTTTCAGTGTCACTGAAGTCCAGACTTTATCCATCCATCCAGTGACTTCAGGAAAGTTTCATGGTGCATCCTCCCGGTGTCACAAGTTCCTCAATCACTCCAAACTTTCTTTCTGCTGCTCGATTATCGTTTTCAGCTGCAGATTTCACGACTTGCAGTTTGTGATCTGCAAAATCTGATTTTCTTTTTGGAGGCATTTGTGTTCAGTCTTCTCCGTCGTCTTTATAAGTTTGATTTAAATGTTAAATTGTTCAGTGATACAGAAGTAATGGTGCGATCGACTGACATGATACAGACAGGACAGAGGCTCTTTCTGCAGGAGACATGCGCAGTAGAGCCAAGTGAAAAGTTAAATATATAAGTCGCACTGGAGTATAAGTCACAGGAAACACCCAAACCATGAAAAAAGTGCGACTTATAGTCCGAAAAAAAAAGTACTCAAACATGAACGAATCACCCAAATACAACTTCAGAGCATCAGTGAAAAGGAAACTACTTTAATATTATTCAAAGCTCGGAAAAGTCCGTTTTGTGAGTCTGATTAAACCATAAACCGGGTCAACAAATCTGCCGTCTGACAGTTACACAACAACAAACTCCACGTGAGAGTTCTGACCCGTCACGAGCACACAGACTGTTGAACTCATTCTTCATGTCGTCTTTGTGCGGGTGACGAGAGCGCAGCACCCTAATCCCGAAAGATCAGCCGTAAACTGAGCCTCCGGGGGGAGATCGGGTTCCAGGTCCAGTGTTTTCCGTGCGGAGGAGAGCGGGTCCGGACCAGAGCCGAGGAGGTGGTCCATTGTGAGGTCCCTTTTGAGGAGCAGCAGACCCGAGAAGGAGTCGAGTTCTGCAGCCTCCTCCAGACAAAAGACGCCCCTGAATTATGCACGAGCGGAGAGACAGGTGCACTGAAACAGGACTGGACCAGGACTAAACCAGGACTGGATGAAGGACTGAACCAGGACTAAATCGGGCCGGAACAGGACTGGAACAGGACTGGAACCAGGACTGAAAAAGGACTGCACCAGGGCTAAAGCAGGACTAAACCAGGGCTGAACCAAAATGAAACTAGGACTGAACCAGGACTGGCGCAAAACTAAAGCAGGACTAAAGCAGGACTAAACCAGGACTGGACCAAGATGGAACCAGCACTGGACCAGGATGGAAACCAGGACTGAAACAGGACTGAACCAGGACTAAAAAAGTACTGAACCAGGACTAAAGCAGGACTTAAACCAGGACTAAACCAGGACTGGACCAGGACTAAACCAGGACTGGACCAGGACAAAAGCAGGACTGGACTGGGACTAAAACAGGACTAAACTTGGACTAAATCGGGCCGGAACAGGACTGGAACCGGACTGAACCAGAACTAAACCACGACTAAACAAAAACTGTGGGCCAGGAGTAGTGCTGAACTAAACTGAGACTGGAACAGGACTAAACCAGGACTGACCAAAAACTAAGCCAGCTCTTAGCCAGGTCTAAACCAGGACTAAACCAGATCTAAATCAGGTCTGAACCAGGACAAATTTGTAGCAGCATAACTTTGTATGCGAGAGCCCAAAACAGGTCAAAAACAGGACTAACCCATCTCCTAACCAGGTCTGAACCAGGTCTAAACCAGGACTATTTTGTAGCAGTTTCTTTGCATGTGAGTCGTCTGAGCTC